TTTAAAAATAATAAAATAATAACTCAAGATTAAAATAAAAATTTTCTGTACTAGTTGTGATTCGTATTAAGAAGAGTAATCAAATTTACATAAATTACGTCATATACAGAGTGTCTGGTAATTCTGTCTATCACGCGCTCATGGACATATAGAACGGACTAAATTGAGTTGAAATAAAAGTTCTCTACCATTTTATAATTTTCACAATAATTCATTAACAAAACATTAATTTCGAAAGATTGTCGAATAAGCACATATCCAACAGCGGCCGCGCTGGCCATGCTGCACGCCCGTTGTTCATAATCGCTAGATATGCGGGGAGTTGTTTATTATAAGCAGCAATAGTTACGCACGGTGGCGAAAGAAAACAATTCTCCACGTGATTAATGACTACCATTATGTATTTGATACGCAATTTTTAGAAATTAATATCTCATTAATTATTGCGAAAATTGCAAAATGGTACTGGTAGGACTTTTCGTCTCAATTCGCTCTACCTGTTCACGAGCGTTGTCGGCAGATACCCAGATATACAAATGCGAAATACAAATATACGGGAATATATTCTGATTGCAAAAACAAACCTGTAGAATGGTCGTCTGATGTATCCTCTGATTGTTAACATACGTATGTGCATCTCTGGAACATGGCGTGAGAGTCACAATGTTCTCGGTAAAAGCTATAACGCAATGCCTGGGCATCACCATCGGTCCCGGCAGCGTCAGTGTTTGCGCTTGCACCGCTTGTGGTCCTATCGGTCTCTCTGATCCTACCTCCGTGACATTCGGTTGTAATCGATGTCGCACTCCGGCGCCATTCGGGATATCGCTGCTGTCAGGATTAAGCTCCAGCAAAAATGGTAGCCTCTCATCCTCATACCTATAAAAAGCAAATATAGCTAATTTTGTCAAAATATTCGTTAAAAGGATTCGTTAAAAGATTCGTTAAAGATACTAAAAAGATGCTAGCATCTGCTACGTCATGAAATATTATTCCCATCAAAATATAACTAATTAACGATAGACTAAACATCCATCGGATAAAGAATGTCGGGTAACTCCTGATGTTCTCTGAATAAAAATTTCCCTAAAACTGACATACTTATGATCCAGCTCATTCCACTTTCCGGCTGGTTTCTTTTTACGTTTCCGCGGCATGTAATCTGCGGGCCTCCTTCTCACGTGAAACATAATGGAACCTGCAATAAAAATGCATATAAGATTTTATCTAAACACATCAAAAGAGGACTGTGCTATATATAATTTATCTATATATATATATA